AGAGGGGTGGGTTTGAGGTTTGGGGGGGGGGGGGAAGATTCCTAAATTCAGGCTGGGAAACCAGGTTCCTTTTTCAGAGCACAAGCAGCCTGCTCTGTGCTGAAATTAAAGCAGGTGCGGTGTGGCTGTTCCCCACCTGATCAGATTCTTGATGTAACTTAAAAGACCAAAAGTGCATTATTATCCAGCTACATTGCTGTAAACCATTTTGCTGCGAGAGAAGCCTAAAGCCAAATCCTGAGTCTGTGTCACTGTAACGTCAGCAGTGTTGTTTTACTCTGGTTTACTCCAGCTGAGGATCTGACCTGCAAGAGCTAATAATGTCTGGGTGACTCACAGGCAAATTGCAGGAGGCTGGGGTGTTTTGCATGGTCAGACTTTCTAAAAGGATTAGAGATGGGTTTGCTTTCGCTGCTCTAGAAGGTTGAGATTATTAAGCATATCTGTATGAGAAGAGTGGCAGACACCGTCTTCATGTATTTCTAATTTAATGAATGTTTAATGCTCCTTTTATTGGAGCCTACATATATGTAGAGTAGAGGACTTTAACAAGGGGTTGACTTATGTCAAATAATTGATGTCTTAGCTGCTCCTTTTACATGAAATGCAGACTTTACAGAGCAAAGAGACTGTAATGAAAATATGAATTAAAGATTAGAGCTAAGCAAGTCTGAGAAAACTTAGAATTAAAAAAGGCACTTAGAAGTTGTCTGCCCCTGCTTCCTTTCCTTCCCTCTACCTTTTCTACATCTCCATCCTCTCTGCTTCTTTGATAGGGTCATCCTGCATTTCAGCCGCAGCCTTCTGTCTCTTCTACACCTACACACCTCTGTGAAGGAAATCAGTGCAGTAATCTCATTCTGGGTATTACTGTATGTTTGCACATCATCCTACCCTGTTACGCTTGCCAACTCAACCAATCAGTTCAGCTGGAGAGACTAAAAAGTATTTTTAAAGTGCGCTCTTCTTCATCTCTATCCCTGATTTGCTAATGGAGCGCATCCCCTGGGCTGAATGAAAATAAGTGCAAGTTTGGTGGAACCATTTGCCAGAGGGACCCACAGTTTGTTACAGCACACTCAGGTGAGGGTGAAAGAATATTATTTATTCATGGTGGTGATTCTGCTGTGTGCCAGTGGTTGAGCTGTGCTGCCTGGAGAGGGTTCCTGTAGGACAGGCTCGAGGCTGCTACGGTGCCATCAGATATTGCTGGTCCCTGTTGTCCAGAGATGCTCTTCTGCCCATAAACATCAGCATCCATTTCTGTCTACTCTCTTGGCCCACCCCTCTCCCTCTCAGTTAGCTGTCTTCATGCTCTGGTTTTCCATAGGTGTTTTCAGCTCTCAGTACAGGTCTAAGAGGTCAACACCAGTGCTTCACTCCTGCAGCATGAGGCTTTTCTTGCCTCAATTTCTGCAGCACAGGCTGCAAAGAGCTTGACTGGTTGGGAGTAATTTCTTGCTTTTTGTGTTTGTGTTTAGAAAACCCTTCTGCAATGTTGATCTGAATTCATACCTAAGACTGAAGAGCTTAGGCTTGATCGTTAGCAAATAAAAGCCCAGTGGAAAAGAGTAGAGGATGTTGATTTCTTGGCTTTGGCTGGTTGGGTTGGCATGGTTCGGTTCCTCACACCACTGGCCATATTGGTACAGCTAAATAAAGAAGGACCGGGCAGAGCACTTGCCCGCGGGACCCTGACTGTCAGCACTTTGTAATGGGGTGACGCACCTAAGTCACATCACTCAGCCAGCGCTGTTTTAGCAGGCTTTGTATGCTCCACCACCCAGCTGTGTCTTCACCCCAACCCCGAGGCATGTGTCACCCCTTGATGCTAAGGGACCCTCACCCTGCTGGGCTGCAGGGCCATTCTCCTGCTAGCTCAAGCAGTCCAAAGAAATGCATACAAAATAACTATGTCTTGGGGTGAAGAGGGCACCTCCTGGGCTCTGGAGGAGGTCTAAGAAGAAGTGCCGGGTGGTGTGGATGTGGCCAGTTTTTGCCACATGGCATTAGAGCCAGAGGAGGGTCTCATGCCCTGTTCTGTTGCGTCATGGATGTGTTCTCTGAGTGCACAAGAAAAACTGCCACTGCGCTCTTACTCTTTAAGATTTTTGTCTCCAGAAGCACTAAGCCACAAGGAGACTCCATGTGTGGAGACTTGAGGTGCAGGGCTCACACCTGAAGTAGGGACTGGGGAGGAGGGGAAGCATGGAGGAGGGCAGTGATGCACCCCAGGTGATACAGTAGGTCGTTAGCAAAGACAGTGATGGCCCATGGTCCTCAACTTGTCTGTGTCCTGAGCACATACTTCTTTTCTGCTGGTCTGAAGAAGCCCATCCTTTGGGATGTAGGCATGTGCTAGGTGGGTCTCATTGCAAAACATGGCTACTCTCAGCAACCCTGTGTAGGCATGCCTCTATTCCTTACCATTTATTTTTGTACACAAGTTCCTGAAATTTAGAACTGTAAAAATCATGGTAGAGATACAAAAAAAATCAAGCTAAAACTCCCTCAAAACAATGTGAAAAACATCACAGACTGACAGTCCTATCTAACAAACAGAGTTTGAAATCTGCCCTATCTCCAGTGAACTCAGGATGTATGTGATCTGATTGTATGTATGATTTAACCTTATTCTTGTACAGAAGATGCTAACTGCAAGTTAAATTTCATCTCCTAGGAAGGTGGAAAGGCAGTCAGAGCTCCCCTTAGGTATCCCCGAACTCCTACATCCTCATCACATGTATTCCATACCATGTGAGCAATATTACATTTCTTGTTCATGGAGGCTCCCCGGGTTTATTCTTTTCAGGTAAACCGTAGGATGTACATATTCCACTTGTACCCATTTCTGAAATCATAATTGCCACAAGGAATTCAGTAACTAGTTTTAAGAAAAAAAACAACTAGATATGGACCAGTCCCACAGCTGATGTAAACTGTATACCTCATTTTCCATCAACTAAGCCACTTTTTTGTTCCAGTTAAAAATGTGTTTTGCTGGTAGGGAATGTTTGCTAGAATAAATGGAGCAGGAGCTGATGTACCAAAAGAAAAGTACTGCACAGTCCTACACAAGATCTGTTGAGAGAAATGGGTTTGTGTGAAGATGAGCACACAAAGTTCTCCCCAGCCTTTCAAAGCTTGGACTTTTTTCACTGCAGCCGGTTGAGCGTGTTTGAAGAAGATGGGAATATGCTGGTCAGAAAATGCTGACTCACTGAAATGTCCCCAGGAGAAAGGCCAATTATAGCAAACTCACTGTGTGTACATTTAAAAAGGTCGGGAAGAAACCTTGAAATGATCAGATGCCCTATTTTAATGCTTTCAAAACGAACTGTCTCAAATCTGGGAGGGTGGAGGGGGTGACATGATTTTGGATGTAGATCTTTATCATTTGGTACATTTCAAATAGGGGAGACAGAAGTGAAGGGGGTTTTGCCAAATGAATTATTTCAGAGAACCTGTTCTGACTTTTATTAAAATTGAAAAGTGATTATGACTTTGACTTTTCCTCACCATTTGAGTGGGAGAGGAATAGCAGAAATAGCTCTGACTGTGATGGGAAATGTCCTTCAGCCCAGGTAAGTAGTCAGGTCCGGGGTGGGATTAAAATACTCCTCTGGGGCTAGATGTCTTTGGGGCCACCACCTTCCACGCCTGGCCGGAGAGGGCTGCCAGCACCTAGCCCTTCTTGGTAAACTCTCTGCACCTAGCAGGATCAGGCCTGCAGGCTTTGCTGTTTGCATAAAATAGCACCTTGGATTGCACTTTCTCCTCTAATTGAAATGCATGGGAAATGTCAGGAGGCGCAGGTGGAAGGGCCCTCGTCCGATATTGCTTAGGTGCTCCTGAGTCTCATTATCTCAGGTCAGTGCATTTGCCTGGTTTCTGATTTCTGAACCAGCATAGCAGTGTGCTTTCATGCCATCCCCTCTCAGCCCTCACTGCATACAGAAGGGACTGCAAAAACTGGGGAGTAAATAATCCCCCCATCAGTTCCTCGGGCTGCGTCTGAGCAGAGGCTGAGGGACGTGCTGCAGCCGACATGCAGCATTTCAGTGCCAAGCCAGCTCAGCTTGCAAGTCAAAGGCTCTGATTTCATGAGGGCCGAGCCAGCGTTGGGTGTTCCTTCCAGAAAAGCCTCGTCTCTGATCTCTGACTCATCGCAGCCACCGCTGACGTCCAAGGGACTCCTTCTGCATGAGGATTATTCATCTGAACTGGGTCCGCAGCAGCATCCAATGCGTCATCCCTTATCTCCCAGCAAGCAGAGGCTGGCAGCCGCGCAGGCGGTGGGGGCACCAGCCCCTTCCTGACGGCATGGCAGTCACAGACCTGCCCGCTGGGTTATGGATCAGGGCAGTGGTTGCCAGCTATTGATGAATGAATTTCGTTTGCTTTTGTTCGACGCGCCGCAGTTGGTGTGCGTGAGGCTTTGCTACCCTCTCTGTACTATGAGGAAAGCGGCGAGAGAGAATTTTTGGTTACTTTTCAAGCTGTGTCAAATGAAAAAGAAATGTATTGCAGGAAATGTCAAACGGTAATTATTAAGGACTCAGAAAACTGTGATTAAAAATGGAAACCTGTCCACCGTAGTAACAGTTAGATATATTCGCTATGTTTTGCACAGAAACCATGTTTTTCCTTGCCTACATTTGTGCCCCTCTAGAGAGCAAATACACTATGATCCAGTTCCTGAGACTGTTGTTAACTGGCCTGGCTGCCTTGCTCCAAGGGAAAGACCCATGCTTTTTCAGCAGCTGAGGATCTGTCCCCCTCTTATTTCTTCTAACAGCTTGACAATGAAGTTGCTACAAGTAAAAAATATCCAGGGCCATCTCCTGCACCCACATAAGCCAGCCTCACACCCTCCAAATCAGGGAATGCTGCTGCTGTTGCCCCTGCGAGGTGGTACTGCCCCTTGGGATGAACAGCAAGTTCAAACAGCAAAGTTGCAGCCAGCCATCCTCCCGGGTGCATTTATCTGTGATGGGAGCTTGCTTGTCTGGACTAGGAGGGTCTGCACAGTCCCCCTTCATTGCTGCTCTGCCTCCTTTGGTTTGCTGCCATCTTTTTCCAAAAAGATCTTGCCAAAATCTGAGTAAGGGACTGAGAAACATAGAGGGGTTGTGCCTGGTTCAGCTATCCCAGTACTCGATGTGAACCTCCCAGAACACTTTCTTGAACAGTTTCACCTGTTGTTGAGAGACTTCCCTGCCCAAATGGTTGCTTGGGTTTCCCAAGTGGGTCAACCCATGAAGTAAAGGTGATTACTTTTCTTTACAGGTTTAGTTTAACTTACATCTGTGAAAAAGGCTTGAGGAGTGGTGATGGGAGGGGAATGGAAGGAAGGAAGCCCCCAGCAACAAAACCAGGACTTTCCTTACTCATCTTTTGCATGCGGTAGTGGTTTTTGCAGTCTGCATTGCCCCTTCTCCCCCACTTTTTTCTTCCCATCTCAGGGAAGTGCTGCCTGCACTCTCCCTCCTTGGGTTCATGTGTGATCAAGCAAGAAGCTCCTCTTGTAACCATGGGTTAAACAAAGTGCTGTAACTATTCTGTAGCCAGAGACGAGATTAGAGGAGATTGCTGGCTAATTGGGAGCAGCAGCAGTGACCAATCCTGCTTGACAGGTTCACGTGGGATGCTGACAGGCACCATCAGACTGGCTGTGACAGCCTGCACCCAGCAAAGAAGCTGGGCTCTCCCAGCCCCATGGATTTGCCGGGGTTTCAAAGCGGTGTGTGAAAGCTTTTCCTTCTTGGAATAGGATTTGCCAGATGTGAAGGTGATGCTCAAGGTGCATCAAGGAAGTTGGTGCATTTTGTCCTCCCGACTGAGGATCGGGCTTTCTAGGCATGGCCTGCTCTGCTACAGGAAATGTTGGCACAGACTGCCATAAACCAGGTATCGCATGTGCTGGTTGACTGGAGACTCCTAGATGGGACCAACCCAATGGTTCTCCGTTGCTGTATGCATTAACACTGCTGTGGGGGTGAGCAAAGGGGCCACATATCATTGGCTTTCTGTTTTCCACTAATCTGTTGGGAAACAATAAAATAAAATCCCCCACATAAGCTCATTATGTCCAAAAGTTTCCCAACTGATAAGGACAAAGCAGCAGTGAGTCTGGTGGCACCTTGTAATAAGGTGTTATTGCTGTTTTTCTGGGGTGTGCTACACCCCCATCATTTCAGCGTTACCCCTGCTGCCATCACGTTGGGAGGAGATGGCCTCTTGGCGAGGGGCTAGCAGTGAGTCTCTGACCCCTTGCCTTTAGGAGGGAGCCTTTCTGGCAGCACTGGGTAGGTAATCCTGACAAATGATTTAAGGCACCATGTCGCTGGACGGCATCGATAAAACACATCTGATACGCTGTGGTGCCTAGTTGTGCGTTTCACCCCACGGTCACTGAGTTTCTACATTTCTCAGCTGAACTCAGCCGCCATGTCAAGGATTTTGGCTGTGCACCCCAGGAGGGGGATCTCTGGGGCAGAGCAACACCCCACACTTGGACATCAGGAGCCACAAAGTCACCATTGCTACTTTGATTTCTTAATGCAGCCAGGCAGCCCACACGTTAGGAGTGACATTTTTCTTCTTTTTATGTCTCCAGAGCAATCAGTGCCAGTGTGAAGCTCATTTATTTGTCCCTCTCATGTCATCCTGCCCCAAAGGTTTCATGGGACCTGGCCTGGTTCTTCTCCCAAAATTTCGTGGCTGAGAAATACCTTCAATAAAGGCAACAAAGTTTATTCACTGGGTTTGGCAATCACTTCATGGCCCAGGGAAGAACGATGCAAAATAAGAGTCAGGGGGAGAAATAGATGCTGTTTGCTCTCTAAAGCACCCGCTGGAGGTTAACCCAGCTGTGGCCTGTGCTCTCTATAAGTATGTAGTTTCTCTGGGTGATGGCTCACTTGTGATACAGTGCTTAACGGCCCTGTTCTGCAGCGTATGTGCTCAGCTCATCAATAACCGGCCGTTCATTAGGGAGTTGGGTCAGGCTGCCCAGCAGCAAAAGCCAGCTCCCAGCTAGCCAAGCAGGACTGGCCTCTAGCAATGAAAAGCCCCTGGCCTCATTTTATCACTTGGCACTATGGTAATCGGTGGCTTTTAATTAAGGCAGGAGGCAATTGGTTGCGGAGGGCACGGGGTGGGCAGGGGTGCGGGGAGGAATTGACTGTGGTATAAATAAGATGCTGGGGGGAGGAGGAAGGGAAGCTGTACACAGTGAGGTTGCCTGGTGTGACAGCACAAATTGGCTTTGTTTTGACATCGGTGCCCCTCCTTTCCCCCACTTTTTTCCAGTGAGTACAAAAATAGCCAAAAATAAACCTCCTTTGGCCATGCTGCGGTAGGGAGGGGATCTGTCTTGAAAGTGCTGGGGCAATGCTGTCTTCAAAGCGAGCATTTCCCTGGCTTTCTTCTGAGATTAAAACTCTTTCTGAGACAGAGACACTGGTTATTACAGCCTTCTGGATGCTGACTTTCTCACTGCGATCGCTGTAGAGGAATGAAGAAGAGAAAAAGAAAAAAAAGAAGGCAAGGGGAAGGAATACAAAGCCAAACTAATAGAGTAACTTCTGGCATTGGCAAGTTTTCATCTTCCAAGGTCAGCCCTGATGTCGTTTGGAGACTGCTTTGCTCTTTTTAGCAGTTTTGGCTGTTGCAGCCATACGTACAAAGGACCATCTGGAACTCTGTTCCCAACTTTAGCAAGCGTTAACATCAAGTTGCCCTGAGCGCCGTGTTTGCTTGCTGGCTGCAGCAGCTCCGTGTTTGAGCCTGCTCCTCTCATATCCCCAACAAGGCAGGGACTGGATACAACCCCATGTGGAGCAGTCAGCCAAGCAGGGTGTGCACAAAGCCCTCAAGCTTCCCTGGGAATTTCTACCCTCCTTTAGTTGTGGGGTTTGGGGCTGGTCTGGATTTTGGGGTGCTTTTTTTCCATCTTTTTTTACTGCATGTAGTTGTTGAGCTCAGCTTTTGTTATAGGCATTCCAGAGTACAAGAGCATGTTTCATTTTCCAGACTAGAAAATGCTCAGAGGTATAATCAGGTCCTTCCACAGTATTTAATTATCCATAATTAAAGGCATCTACACAAAGTACCAGATTTTCAAAGACTGTTCTTGTGTTACACTGCTAATGAATTAAGTAATTAATTGGCATTGAAAAAAATACAATAGGAAACATCAATCTTTTAAAGTAAAGCATTTTTAGGCGTTTTATAAAATCATTAACTTGTATCAGGTCAGTAGCTGTTCTAATGTCTAAATTCCCCTTCTGTTTTTAAAAAAAATTTCTAAAGGACAAAATCAACACAGGAAAAACAAGGCAGTGAATACTTGCTACAGAGTGTGAAAACACTCATGAATGGGGAATTTCATTTGGAAGTTGCTGACCATCACTTTGCCACCCTGTCCGGCAGTTCCTTCCCCCTGCAGCGCCATGTCTTGTCTCTCTAACACCAAGCTTATCGGTTGCCTGGGGTGGGGTGAGAGGGGAGATGTTTTCTCGAGTTTCCTTTTCCATCTCCCAGGCAGGTAATTAAACTCCACAGACAAATTAAGACATTATGTTTCTGCCATTGTGGTTATTCCCTTTCTCCCAGTAATCAGTCATTTGTACAGATATGCATAGAAGTGGGAGCTCTGCCTCTGTAGCCTGACCTGAATTTATAGGGATGAAAAAAAGGCAAATCCAAAGGCTGGTGCCGCTCGGCTCGGTTAAACACCCTCCAGAAGAGTCCGTCCTTTGACTGGAAGGGGAACCTTTGGTGACCGAATTAGACTTTTAGCTTTTATACATGTACATGTTCATTAAATTCACCTTTCACTTGGGTCTCGTCTGTCTGCGGGCAGTCATTTCTGTTTCTGGCGTTGTGGAGGCCAGGAGGCTGGGCAATGCTGGTGAAGGCAGCAGGACATGGGCTGGCTGTGTCACACAAAGTGTAAAAATTGGGTTCTGCTCAAAATGGGCAGCAGGAAATCCGACAACTCAAACATGAGCCGAGAGTAGAAAGAAATGGTTTTAGCAGCAGCTCTCTTCTTACATGAAAAGTTTTTGCTTTGCTTTGAAGTTCCATTTCTAACGCGATCCCACGTTCAAAACTTTAGTCAGAAAAATCTGTTGCCAGGTGGAAAAAAAATATTGGGACCATGCTGTTGCTCCCAATGCATCTCATGATGGCAGAAAGGCATAAAGGCACTTTTTTACCAATTGACATGTTCCCAGAGTAATCTGGTTTGCAATGAAACTCTCTTTTTCCTAAAGGAGCTGAAGGTTTGTCTTCAAGCATGTGGTTTCCGGCAGCTAAAGAAACCCTTCCTCCCATTGGCAAGGGGTTTATGCAGAGGTTTACTCATACCAACAGGCAACCATTGCCGTGGCTAATGTGCATGGTGGTGTGACCACCATCGTGCATTAACCGCCGTAGTTTCACTATCCAACAGTGGGTTGGGTTTTCAGTAAACTGCACATCTAAATGCACAGCTCTGATAATGTATAGTAATCCTGGTTCTTCCCCCCAGTCCCCCCTGGTTTTTCAATTTTTTCCTCCTGTTTTATACAAAATTAGCACTGTCACAGTTTCCACTTCTTATATGACTGATATGAAAAAAAACCCCACACCATAAAACATCACGCACAGCTGTAGTGACCAAGTTAGATTAAATTTTGGCTTTATATTGAGTTGACATGCAGCCAGCTCTCTTCCATACATCATCTGTGATTGCAGTTAAGGATGAAATACTGTTTTAATTCTTACACGAAATGTGGGGTTTTTTTCTGAAGAAATAAGACATAAAAATGTTAAAATGGGCCATAAAAATCATTAAATTTTCACACCGAGCACAACCAAGAGGTGAGTAAGTTGGCTAAAAGCTCAAAAGATCCAGAGGAAAAGTCCCAGTTGTTATTCTTTTGTTGTTAACCTTCGCCTTTGAATAGAGATACCCAGGCAGAGAGCAAAGACCTGGTACTTTGACAGTCGAGGGCTGTTTTGCCACTTGCTTCCCTAGATAAGGATGTCCCCTCACATCTGCATGGACAAAGAGCTGCAGCTGCTGGCTGGAGCTGCTGCTCCCCACCAGTGCCCGAGGACGGTGCCTTGGGAGGTGCCCCAACAACATTGCAGTGGGTGGGATGAACATGCAGCCAAGCCCCTGGCCACGTCTGCAGCTCTGTGTCCCAATTCCTTTCTTGGGTGACCTGGGAAATACCAGCTGTAAGGGCAAAATCACCTGGACTGAGCCTGTCCCATGGCACACGTTGTCCCATGGCTGCTCTCAGGACCCAAACTGCCAACATGAAGGCAGCAGAAATGCAATGACATGGTTTTTACATATATATATATATATATATATATATATGTATATATAAAAATCTCCACCCTCTGCATATATATATTTTTTACTTAAAGGTTTATTCTCTGGAAGGTCCAACTTTTCCTCCCTTTGGCTGTTGATTTTACTAGTAACTTTGTTAGTCGTTGCGGTATTTATTGGTAGTTTCAGTAACTGATTTCTTTTAAATTAACCTATTTGATACCAGCTCCAAATAACCCCACCTCACCTTATTTGCCGTGTTTGAACCATTAAAAGAACTAATGTACCTTCAGCACTGTTGGAGTTCATTTTGGGAAATACCTATTTAGATGACTTTTTAAAAACCTATTTTTTTACCTGAAACGTTATAATGACCTAGGAGTAACTTTCATTGCCTGCAATTAGAATCTACGTATATTAAAAAATTTTTTTTTAAAAATCTATGGTATTCTCCCAAAGCTTTATGCTGTCTGCAAAAAGATTTTTCAGAGCAAATTCCTTTTGTTTGCTCCAGTAAATGCTGAAACATCCATTTCTCACTTAATAAATGGCTACTGCTGTCTCTGAGGTGTTACTGTTTTCCTTCTTCAACCTTGAATATACACAGTAAAAATCTGATTCAGAAAAGCTATTTTATATGCACAGTATCTGCCTGTGCAATGCTGAGCACCTTGCCTGGTGTGGGTTTTTTTACCATAAGCTAAACTTTTCAGTGCTGATTAAGGTATTTGCACACGTAGATCCTATTAAAATGAAGAAGTGTGTAAATCCCATAGGTGACTTTGAAAATGCCAACCTGCATTTTGTATTAAAAGAGGTGAGGAAAACCCTGTATTTAAGTCTAGGTCTGTAGCCCTGTGATTTGCTCTTCTGCTGTCTGAGAGCTGGTCCTGTGACACACCGTGTGTTGGCTCCTCTGTGACTTCGGTGGCAGTGGTTCAACTTCAGTGCTGCCCTCAATTCGAGTGTATTATTCAATCAACAGAGCAGCTAAATGATTATGAATGTGATATTAACTATTAATTTGCACTGCAGCAAAGCCTAACCCTGCTGGGCAACAGTCCATAAACCACCACTGGATTACAAACCTGGTAAAATGGGGAAACCGGGGGTGCAGATTTTGCAGGAAGTCCAAAGTGCACTCTGATGTCGATTCACTCCCAGCTTTGAGTTTGGTGCACTTGGGATCAGAAACAGGCTGGATGCATGGACTTGGGGCAAATGCCGTTATGATGAGGGAAATACCCTTAATCTAAACCACTAGGAAACGTACCGCTTGTCCTATTTTCTTTAGCATGCCCAGATCAGTTTTATTAGATTATCTGCACTAGTCCTGGATTGCTAAAAACTGATTTAAAAGATTCATTTTCACAGTTGAGGCTCCCAGTAGTTTATTATCATATCTCAATCCACAATATTCCTGCTGGAGGAGGAGTTCCGTTTCTTCTGGGCTTTAATCCTGGGAACTGCCTGGTTTGGCATCCCCCCCGTACCCGCCGGCGGCAGCATCGGCTGTCAGTCATTGGCACTGCTTGTGGCTGACCTGTTTTCTGCAGATGCCTGTACTGAACACACACTTTTCTCCATCATCTCCACGCTGCCTTCCCTGCAGCGAGCTGTGCCAAATGTCTGATCTGGAGCTTTGCTGCCACCACAGCACCAGCAGTGTTGTGTGTCAGAAAAACTTTGGTCTTGGTCCTCCATTGTCATGCTCATCCCACATGCGTGGTGGATGGAGAGAGAATAGGGGCTGCAGTTTTCAGCTGGTGCTTTTTACCTGTCTAAGAGCTGCCGTCTTTATTTAACTTGCTGAGTGATAATCTCAAGTCTGTCCACTCAGTTTAGATCTGTATCAGCTCTGGTAGATGTCACCACTCCTAAACAGACTGCTTTTAAATTGCACCCATAGATCTTCCTTGCACCAAAACATTCCAGCATTTAGTGATGCCTGAAGTTATGTCTCCACATCAAATTAAGTAACTGTGCTATCAATAAGGAGGAGTAATGTGGTATATTCCCTTCTGGATGTCTCCCTGTCCCTCATTTGTTTGCTGCTCCTGATTAAGACAGATAACGAGCTATCAGTAATTTTCTAACCACAGTGCAAAGCGGTGAGGATTAAATCCGTCTGTGTCACTGAGAGCCAGGTCATAATTTAGGGAACTCAAGTGGGTCCCCTGCATCCTTTAGACTCCTAGGCAGCAGATGCTTGGGCCGGTCTGAGCAAAGCCCGGATCATATGAACATCTCTGCATGGGGACAGCCAGAATGTGTCGTGAGGCTACCAGGAGATCCCTGACCCATTGGGCTGGCTGAGACCTGCAGGTGTGTTTTATCTTCTTTATTGTGCCAGCTTCGTCACTGGCAAAAATCAGTGGAAAGGCTCCCATTGCCCTGAATTTAGCTTTTCAGCTCTGTCTCACCTTTTCAGTGCACTCCTTTTAATGATGTAGGGCTTGCTTAGAGGGAGCAACTTAGATTTAGATTGAAGAAGGATACTGTAGATATATATAGAGATATATATATATATATATATTTTTAATGCAGAGATTAAATAACTTTTAGGCATCTTCAGGCACCCAGCAATGTGAATTATGGATGGAAAAATTTCTCATGTAAATAGGCAGTGCTTGAGAAGGGCTGTTAGCATCATCTTGTGAGGAGTGAAATACGCAGGAATGATGGAAAAGAGCTGCAGATCAGCTTCAGAGGAGATTAATTCTTTGGGGCAACGGTGCGCAAGATTGAAAGCTCATGGATGGCTGGGAGATAACCACCAGTAGACTCCAGGGAGCTTTTAGCCAGAGCCAGTGGGGTTTGTCCACAAACAAAAAAAGAAAAGTCTCTCATTTTGCAACATCTTAGATGACAGAGAGAAACTAGGGGCACTTACTGGAGGTGCTTCCTCTCCATGGGTGGATGAACAAGGCAGCAAAGGAAGAATGAACCTTCCACCTTGGGATCACCTCAAGGAGGTGACACGTTACAGTAGCTAAGGGCCATCATCATGCGGTACTCTGCCTGAAAGAGGAAACATCCCAGGCAGAAGGTGGCCTTGTCACAGAAACATCACTTGTTGCATGAATGCATGTATCCATATTTTGGATTCTTTCAGCGGAGAGGGTGGGAATGATAGACTCACCTTCCTGTGAGCTCTTTGCACTGTTTGCGGTGGTGAATGCTGACCAGAGCAGGCTGAGATTTGGTGGGAAAGCTTGCACAGACCACTTGTACTTGCAGGAAAACACTGTCTGAAAGCAAATGAACAACAGAAAAATGTCTGTGGGAAATGCATCTTTCAAACTTCCTTGGATTTGCTTATATCTATGCACACACACACACACACACACACACACACACTCACTCTCTCTCTCTCTCACTCTCTCTCTCTCTCTCTCTCTCTCTCTCTCTCTCTCTCTCTCTCTCTCTCTCTCCAGGTCCATGCAAGGCTTTCTTTTGGGATTTTGAAATACCAACAGAATGGCACTAGGGCCAGGGTATGCTGGGGCCAGCAGTACCCCAGTGCTCGCTCAAAGCTTTCTGTGCCTGCCTTGGTTTTCATCCCTCAACTGATGGGGGAGGATGGGGCAAAAAAACCACAGGGATTTCATCCTGGTATCCACTTGTTTGTGGGCCTGTTGCCAAAAAAAAAAAACCAGCATCTCTTTTGCCTCCCCCCTGCCGCCATTCACTGCCTGCCTCACCACAAGACGGAGCCCCCTTCGTCTGCCAGACGGAGATGCCACATTTCTGGCAGCTGCCATGCCGGGAGGGCTTCCTTATACCCGCAGGACACGATTGCCATCCAACAGGTCTGCGGCAGCATGGAGGGGGGGGGATTAGCAGACGATGGCTTGTTTGTGCTGGTGACCAACTTTCACCTACCCACGCTGAAAACATTGACGTGCTCCAGCGCACAGCGCTTCCAAGCTGCGATGTGCAACTGATTAGCATTTGGGGTGGCAGATGGCTCTGCGAAGTGTTTTGCTTAGGGCGGTGAGGACTGACACCTCCAGCATCCCCCGCCTGCCTGCTGTAG